TAGGCCCTTAAAGGTCAAATCACCACAAAGTGATGGGTGCCTTAGTGTGAATCGCACCTTCACAAACACATTGTTTTCTGAAACCAAAAGTTAGTCTACTGTTTCAGTTTACAAAAAAATACAGGCTTAGAGGAAATGATGGATTTGAGAATTCTTTCTTTCAGAGTCATGTTTGTGCCTCACGTCTTTAATGGCTGACTCAGTCACATATTTTTGTTAGATCAATGCATTCAGAAATATTGAATTGCATGATTAAAAAAATGCCTTATTTATTTGTTTTAGGAACTGAATATATCAGATGCCAAGGGGAAGATTCAAAAGTATAATATTACTGTCCTGGAGCAGAACACGAAGAAGAGCTCAAATTCATTTCCACCCAGCAGAAATAAGAGCATTTGCTGTTTTAACTGTTCTGTGTCAGTGTCTGCAGTTAACTCAAAGGGTCAATCTCCTGGCAAATTTATTGAGTTGCGTTCTCCAGGTAAGGTTTTTTTTTAATAACAAAGCTAATGTGAGAGAAATAATTGCAGTTTTGTTGACTCATATTATCAATACTGAGCCAAATAACCACTTTCACTCAAACTCATGAGTAAAAGATGCAAAACATGTGGTCAATATAGCAAAATTAAGCCATATTTGTTGTGTTCACAGTCCATTCGGGTTTCCTGCTACAGCCACACAAACTATTGAATAATCATAGCGTTGCCCTCTCCTGGCAGCAACCTGCCATTGCAGGCCATAGAACGGAGTATGTAGTGCATTGGTATCCAGTTGGAGACATTGAGGGGATTCAATGGATACGAGTGCTGCATACCACAGCTAACATTACAGGCAAGTTTGATTGGATGAAATGAGTTAAGGCCAGTCAAAATTAGCTGGTTGGTTTCAAGAGGAATAAAATGTTTTCTCTTCTTGTACTTTTCTGCTGTCTGTCCAGGTCTACGGCCTCAAGAATGCTATCAGGGTGCAGTTACCGCTCTGAGCTCTTCTGGTCCCAAAATGGCATCCATTCGAGGCATCTTCACATGGCAGTCAGGTTAGAGGCTTAATGATTACTCTCCAATCCCCAAATCTCAATCATAGAGGTTTGTGTCCGTATACAGGCCCGGCTCCAGGACACACGAATCAGGGGGAGGGGGACTCGGTTGAAATAGCCGTGGGTGGTGAGGGGTTGGGGGTGTTGAAATAGACGTCCAGCGGGTGAGGGGTTGTTCCTCGTTCTGGAGCACATGGATCCATGTAGTCCCCCCTTTGGCACTGGGCCTGAATCGTATATAAATATGACTACTGTTCAAAAATTTGGAATCAGTAAGATTTTTTTCTGAAAACAAATACATTTTATTCAGCAAGTACTGCATTAAATACTTCACAGTAATTACATTTATAATATTACAAAAGATCTGTTTTTCAAATAAATGCTGTTCTTTTGAACACTCTATTCATCCTGAAAATAATTGGTTGCCACAAAAATATTAAGCAGTTTAAGAATTAAAATATTAATTCTTAAACACCAAATCAGCATATTACAATGACTTCTAATATGCTGCAAAATGGCTTCTTAAAATTGAGCTTTTCCACCATATGAATAAATAACATTTTAAAATATGTTAAAATATAAAACAGTCATTTTAAATTCTAAAAATAGAAGTATTTCGAAATATTATTAGTGTTCTTAATCAAATAATTGCAGCCGTTGTGACCATAAGAGACGATAGATAGATAGATAGATAGATAGATAGATAGATAGATAGATACTGATCATAATTCCTGTATGTTGTATTTCACAGCCCCAGAACAAGGTCCAGTTCCTCAACTAGACTGGAAGAAGAGTATGAGCATGCAGGTGAAATGGTCTGAAATCCCTCATGAGAAGAGACGAGGCTGTTTAAGAAAATACACCGTCTACTTGATGGACAAGTTGAATGAAGATATTAAGAATTACAGTAAGGTTACCTTACAGTGAATTTACCAGTCTAGATATTTACTGTTGCCTCTGCAACACAATATAAGACTGCTATGTGCTTGGGATGTTCAGTAATATTAGTGCTTTTTAATAGGAGCTTTCTGATGCCTAACTTTGATTGTAGATGTGGACTATCCGAAGAGAGAGAGTATTATTAGTGGTCTGTCACCAGGACAGTGTTACAATATGTGGGTCACTGCCTGGACAGATGCTGGGGAGGGACCCAAAGGAAGTGATCTCCCTTTCTGCACACTATCAGACGGTATGCATTTGTTCCGGTTATAGCTCTGAACACATAAGCTAAATAAAAGTACTAGACACTGACTCGCTTTTGTGAAAAAAGCGATGTCTAAAGTTTCAGCTGTTTTGGTAACCTGTGACCTGTGTCATCTTCTTTCAGCTGAGGAACTACTGTCCCGTGCGATCTTGGCTGGTGGAGCAGTACTTTTGGCCTGTCTAATGCTCCTGTGCATCTTTCAGTTCTCCTCTGTGCAGAAAAGGTAAGAAACAGCAGAATGCTTTAAATCCACAGAGAAAAGATTATTATATAAAACACTGCCATGTCTGTTCTGCTCGATAGATTCTCAAATTGTTGCCAGTGTCTGCAGCCTACAGATATTCCAGATCCAGCAAACAGTAAATGTGCAAAGACGTACACTGATGACCAGGTAAATGTATGGAGATACATGATTTCTAGCTTATTGGAAAGTATTTATCGGGATCCAAGTAAAATGAGTTTCACCGAGCCATACCCCTTTCATATTCCAATAGTTTAACCTATTGCATGTTCATGGTTCTCTGATGTTGTTTAATGGTCCCATGTGACACTCACATGACATGCAATTAAACAGATAAAATATCGAATCATTTTTGTTTCTTTTTAAACAGTGCTTAAGTTAGTAATCACATCATCTTCGTCAGAATTTTATGATTGGCTGAAAGCAGACTTCTTGAGTCCGCTCACATGCTCATACCAGTCTATGATTCGTTTACACTTAGCATCAAAATGCTAATTTACTGCTAATGTGCCTTTTCATCCTAACAATTCCTTATGGAACCAAAATATATGAAAAGATATTCTGTAATACATTCTGTAATACATTTCCATAAATGGGAAACTAGTATACTGCAATATTTGCATTGACAATTAACGACTATATTAATACATAAAACATTTATAAATTAAGACAAAAATAGCTTTACATGTAAATGTAATATTCACAAATGTTTATCTTTTATTGTGTACATATATTGCACATACATGTTCCCATATAAATGTGAATGTATGTTCACACACTTATACACGCACACACATTCACGGAATGAGTTACAACAGATTTCCAGTTCCCAGCATCCTTTGTTTCTGCTGTTAAAGACTGTTTAAAGAAAACCAAATGTTAAAATGACGTGTTATTTGATGTGTTTTGCTCAATATAAATATAGGGGTAGATCAGTTGGTGTTCTATTATTTTAGAATTTAAAAGGTTAATGATTGGTCAAACACCATAAAGACCATAATTACTATATTTTAGCTTGACAATATGGAACAATTTTAGTGTAAATAATTATAACATTTTAAGAAATATATTACATAAATATGTATGTGTATTTATCTATATATGCTGCAATTAATAGTAATTCAGAGAAATTATATATCTGCAATATAATACACATGCGATTATCTGATCACATATACATCTATATATTATGAATTCTATTACTGAATATAAAATGACATACATTATAATATATGAAGAGTTCAGATGCAAAAGCCTCTAAATGCCATTTGAAATTTTCTTCTTTAATGATGATTTTGATCAAACTTGTATATTTAAGTTCAGTAATTTCACTTAAATAACAATTAATAGGTAATTATCATTGCCGTTTAAGTGAAATTACTGAACTTAAATATACAAGTTTGATAAAAATGATCATTCTAGAAGAAAATTTCAAATGGCACTTAGAGGCTTTTGCATCTGAACTCTTCATATTAGTAAATATATTGTCACATATTTTTCAATATATGAAAAGCGGAAATTCCTTATGTACACATTACAACATATTATTCTGTATATTTTCAAAAATGCTGCTTAACCGTTAAATATATTGATCAATCATGTATAGGGAAATTTCTTTTCTTTTCACAAAGGGTCCTGGGTCACTATATGCTTTATGTATAGAATTCTCCTTTTGTGTTTCAGAGAAGAAAGAAAGCTTTGCAATGACTGAGAGTTGGAATTGTGGAAATCAGAACTACAAATGTAATTCATTAATCATTTCCCATCTGTTCCTCTTACCCTGTCTCCAAATAGGGTGAAACTAAATTATATCTTCACCCGTTTGACTCCACCATTAGTGAGGAGCCCGAAAATGTAGAAGTGGAGGAAGTTCCCAACCACAGCTTCACCTGTGTCTACATCAAAAGCTTCTCTCAGGAGTCCAGCTCCTCTAACGCCACCCAGATAACCAGGACCACAGATTACACAGAGGAATACATCTCCACTCACGGCGCAATAAGTGGAGGAGAGGAGGAGGAGGACGACGACAAGGAACAGGAGGCATTTTTGGATGAATTTGAATTCTTCCCAAGCACTCACAGCCCTTTCCTGGAACCACTGGTTTTAACTGGAGGAAAGTTGACTCTGGATGTAGTGAAAATAGACTGCAGTGAATTTCTGGATTGCACGTGATCTTCCACAGGCATTAAAATGTGACCTGACTGTAACTGTAAAATGGATGCTGAAAAATAACCATGGACATCCCAAAGATAATTTGTCAGCCAAAAGACAAACTTTTATCTTTAAACATTTTACTTCGAGTCCCAGCCAAAACCGCGAGGAGCTCAAGCTGTAATGGAAGTAGCAACAGATATTTTCTTCCATATTGTAACATACTGTACATCCAGTATGTGAAACAGATGAAAGAAAAAAGGGGGGAAAGGATGGCGAGGACTTGGAGAGATGCAAGAAAGAGGAGGGGTTAAACAGACCATATGATTGGATTAGTCTGGCATACGTTACATGAGAGAAATTTGATGTTTCACCAGCTGATCAAGTGCAATTTTAATTAAAAATGTATAGGCAGAAAAATGTACGAATCGTTCACAATAAGACCAATAACATGCATTAAGAAAGCTTGTATGGTTGTGTTAGAAGGATGTGGCAATAGAATTCATGGAACGGAAGGTTGAAACAAAAGCAAGGTGTCCTTCTCAGCACACATGGTTTGCCTGAGCCTCAGGTACTTGTCTCTGAAATGCAATGATCTTGTCTCTGAAATGCAATGAAAATACTAGTATCAGTCTATCAAGAGTAAGGATACTAATGAATGTTAGTTGAAAAGGTTTTTGTAGACATTCTACACTCATTCTTCCCACCAAAACACTGTCCAACACTAACCCTTCACTTGAACTGTTTCACAATACAGTCAAATATTGCACAAGCATCAATATCGTGGCAGACAGTACTCATATCTCATCTACTCTAATGCGAGATGTTTGAATCATACACATTTGTCATCATCAGTTTTTCATCAGCTCAACTGAATACTGTTCTAATGTAATGTTTTTAATTGCATGTAAACTTTTAAAGTCAAAGCATCAATGACAAAATCAATAATTGATTATAAAAACAAACCTGTGTGGTTTCCTGTTATCTTTAAAATGAAATGGTAAATGGGTTTGTGGAAAGATTAACATTTGGTCTATAGATGGAGTGGACCTTTCACCAGTCAGTCAACCTTAAAATAGTTGTTCCAGTGTACTGTAAAACTAAACCTAAACCTAATAAAGTAGATTTCTACATTTTCTAGAGTGGAACTTGGCACATCTCCTCCGTACAATTTAATGCATCATATCAATAAAACAAATTGAATAGAGGCACAAGCAATAGAAATACTGATAGTTGCCAAATGCTTTTGCAAAATGAACACTTGCAAGTTAAAACCCACTCAAAATGAAACTTAACTAAGGAAAGGAATCATTAAAGAAGTGTCTGGTTATTATAGTTACCATTTACACTTTGGCCTCAGCCATTGACCTCACGACCTCCATGTTAGCTAATATACTAACTAAAGTTAACAAATAGCATTTTCCGTATGGTTGTATTGTTATTTCTATGTCAAAGTCAATCTGAAACCACTTTAACAAATACTACATTATAGCATTAAAGACCCTATACAGCTAATAACAGGACCAGTATAAGTATTTTTTTTCCAGAGTAGTTTACAAGACCAAACTGCATGAGAACCAACGTATCAGATGAGTTCAAGTCAGAATCAACTTCATCTTTGAAGTTAAAGGGATAATTCACTTTGAAATTATTTTTTGATATGTTTTAGCTTACCTCAAGGGCATCCAAGATGTAGGTGTCTTTGTTTCCACAGAATTTTCAATCTTGACATTTTTTGGTCAAACCGTTGTTGTCTGTCAGTCATACACTGGAGGTGAAGGGGGTCCTCAATCGGTTCACCTCAAAGAGCATGCACAGAGAAGTCAAAATTAAACATGATTTAATGGCTCGTAAATGTAAGTACATGATGGCCTAAGACACAAAATGAGCGGTTTGTGAGAGAAAACGAACACTATTTAATATTTATATAGTTTTTACCTCTTGTTAACAGCCGTCTAACTCCAACTGAACCGAACCGTCTCCAGACGTTCCGCCGGAAGTGATCTCTCGCGCGTCTACTCACGCATTGTTTAGATTTTGGAAGTTTTACCTTTCTTCTTCTTCGTTTTATGGCAGAAGATTGCAACCATGACTTTAAAGGTGCATACCGCCACCTACTGTATCAGAGTATGTAACACGGGCTATTCGTTGAGTTTTACCTTTCACTAAACATATTAAGATATATATTTTATACTACGGCCTCAGCCATTATGTTTAGTGAAAGGTAAAACTTCCGAAATCTCCGTGTAAACAATGCGTGACGTAGACGTGTGAGAGATCACTTATGGCGGAACATCTGGGGACGGTTCAGTTGGACATCTGATTCAGATCAGTTCCACGGATGTTAACAAGAGGTAAAAATGATATAAATACCGTTCGTTTTCTAACAAAAAAGCTCGTTTCGTGTCTTAGGCCATCACTGTGTATTTACATTCACGAGTCATTATATCATGTTTAATTTTGACTTCTCTGTGCATGCTCTTTGAGGTGGACCCCCTAAACCTGCATTATATGACTGACAGACAACAACGGTTTGACCAAAAAATGTCAAAATTTAAAATACTGTGGAAACAAAGACATCTACATCATGAATCCCTTGAGGTAAGCTAAAACATATTAAAAATTAATTTCAAAGTGAATTATCCCTTTAAAGGCCACACAACACCACCGTGTGAATCGACCATCTTTTAATTATTGACAGAGGTCTAATAACAGGGTAGGAATTCACACATTATCATAGCACTCAGTTGTTCCACACTGAACAGGAAGGTGTTTCTTTCAGATCAATTATGCAGTATAACTTAGCTGTTGTAAAAGCAATGGGGCAGAAAGAAAATGTCATTTCTAAAAGGACTTATCCATAACCTGGCTCACATTTTTCAGTAAACAGGAGTGCAGTGTGTAAACTTGCTTGTATTTATACTAAAACTTTTCAAAATGAGTATGATACGATCCTGAGTTATCCCATTGCTATCTTTTGATACCAATGGTATCAAAAGACACTATTTACTTACAGTGGTCATTCGATAAAAGACACTTTTTGTGTCGAGTGCAACTGAATCGTTTGAATTATATCTTGACAGCAAGGTGAATCATTAATTGTACATTTAATCAAAATGATAGCAGATTCGGTTTTAAGGCCCGCTTTCAGGGAATAGAGGCATTTAATAACAATGACCAGAACCAAAATACTCTAATTTCCCATAGAAATGCAGTAACCTTTAAGACTAGGTAGATCTTCTCTCTGAAAAGGGCTGTTTCGATGCAATTGTGGGTAAAAAGCAAGCAAGCTACGGGACACCTTATGATAAACTGGTGTGTTCATCACACCTATTTTTGGAAATACATTTTCAAGCAGCAGTACAAAAAGTATCCATGAACAAGGCATAATTGCTGGAAAAAAAAACAACAACAAAAGAAACACTGTATGAAAACTTCCCTGCTACCTTGTTTCTAAATACAAAACCTCAACCAATAATTTGCTTCAGAATAGCAAGAAGTCCGTCCTTTGTTTTGTTTTTTTGTTGTTTTTTTTATTTTTTCATCTTTTTTTTCTAAAACAGGTAAAATTCAGTCCTCAGGGGTGAACGGCATGGATGACAGTCTTCCATCATTTCATCTGCTGAAGGATCCATTAGCATGCAAGCCTCGTAGACAAGGACCCGTGGAGGAGTTTTCCTCCTGGGTGAGCCGAGTGGCATCTGGGCAGCTTAAGCCAGGGCTGGGAAAGCCTCTGGGTCGTCCACGTTAGGGACAGACACTCCACCAGCCTAAAAAAAAAAAGCAGATACAGGAAAAACAGGCCATTTTAGTCCAAATTCAGGTTATGGTTAATCCTCCAAGGTCATCTAGCAATACCAGCCATAGACGTAACAGCCAGTCATTTGATTTCCATTAGTCTAGCTTCTTAAAGTTTTGCAAGCCTAATAAACATCTGTTTATGTTCTGATTGGTCCTTTAAATCAAGTCACGTACAGAGATCTCACATGATCCTTTAGGAATCATTTTAATCTATTGATTTAGTACTCATGAAACCATGTGCTAAATATCACAGTAAAAACGTACCTTTGTGAAAATAATGATATACTACTCAGGAACATTTCGTTGAAATTATTTTTTTAACAATGTAAATATTTTTCCTGTCACCTTGATGAATGAAAAAACCTTTTGTGTAAACAAAACAACAACACTTTTTAAACGATTCTATTTAAAGACCAATGTGTTAAAGACCAATCTGCAATCATAAATTAGATGTACATTACTCTATAATTAAGGTGATTTCACCATTATTTTTTGGATAGATGTGTGAACCCCTGCAAAGTGGTACATGCGTAGCTGCAGAGACTCAAAATGCATAGACTATACCTTGTCTGGCCTGCGTTCACGAGGTGGTCTGGCAGCAGGGGCCCCACGGGCACCTCTGCCACCTCGTGGTCCACCACGACCACGCCCTGGGCGGCCCAGGTCCCCAAAGTTAATCTCCAGCTGGGATGTAATGTCATTAGCTGGCCTGCGGAAGGTGTGGTCCTCAGCGGCATCATCACCAGAGGCCTGCGGGAAGGAAAAGAACATGTACACTGAGGTTAAAGTCTAACAAACTATTAGAACTCATTTCTAAATTAGGATAAAAAAAATAAAAAAAAGACTAAAGCAACAAAAGACAATGAATGTGATTAAATATCTTCATAATACACCTGAACTCGGGCTATATTACTCATACCCACAGGTTAAATTACTTTAACCTTTAAATTTCACTTTTCTAACTATTGGTAAGCAATAACCTGTATTTAATTTGTACAATGAATTTACAATTGCATTTCTGTAGTATTTCTTACCCAAATACTAATGTTAGTCTTTAAAGCCATGATTATTTAATATTCCTATGTATTGTATTGTTTGTTTTTTTATTTGAACTATCTTTTATAATTTGTTTATTAATTATTTTATAGACTGTTAACTTGTCTTGTTTGTGAATTTAGGTCAAAGTTTCAAATAAAGCCCCCTCCTGTGCTGTGTGCAAGCTATAGAAAGAAAAAAAAAAAACAGTTTTCCCATGATTTAAAAAAATGGTCTCACATATCAATATTTGTCAAGGTATCGTATCGAAGTTTTAAACTCCAGTAGACAACACTATACAGCAGAGGTGTGGACTCGAGTCATGTGACTTGGACTCGAGTCAGACTCGAGTCATGAATTTGATGACTTCAGACTCGACTTGACAAAATGTACAAAGACTTGCAACTCGACTTGGACTTTAACATCAATGACTCGTGACTTCACTTGGACTTGCGCCTTTTGACTCGAGAAGACTTGCTACTTCCCATGAAAACTGGGGAAAAAATTTTTCACACGGCCGCGCCCGCGTTTATCTGCATCTGTGAAAAAAATGCGCGCCGTCACCTGTATGCATGCAGAGAGAACGCGGCAACGCGCGCTGCCTGCACGACATCCAATCACTGTAGTCCCATGTTTTTTTGATTCGACAGCAAGACAACCTATGAAGCGCAACAAGCACCAACGCGCCAGTTGGCAAAATGATACCGAAGGTAGTTTCTTTTGGCTATAAAAATTACGAGCTAGTCGACAAAAAACGAGTTGCAATTTGCAAAACATGCGGGTCGAAGATTACAGACGGAGCTGCCACAACGTCCAACTTTGTTCGACACCTGAAGTTGCACAAAGAAAGGTAAGTTTTGAATGAATGATAAGCACCTTATAGGATGTACCGTACTAGCTAGCTGCTGCATATATTTACTCTAGCCTATCAACGAGACAGTAAACGCACGTCTCTCTTGCTGGTTCATGCTTACAAAAATAGGTATTTTTGAACCCGGATTATATGAAGTAGATGAGTGTAGCACACTCAGATGGAAAACCTTGCCAACATCATGTCAACGTCCGTTTTAAAGGACAATTTCTACCTTGCTGCTAGACGGATAAACACAAATGTATATCTCAGTCTCTCCAATACACAGGGGCGTAGAATTTAGTAGGGACGCTAGGGACGTGTCCCTACCAATATCCAGTGACACTAATATATCCCTAGCAATAATTTCGATCAAAACTCAAAATTTATTTATAAATTGATTAGGGCTGGCAAAAAAATATATTTTTCGATTTCGATTAATCGTTTTTTAAAATGTGGTCGATTCAAAATTGATTCTCAACGGCCACGAATCTATTTTTTTCCATATTGAGGACTCGCGGCGGTGCTGCGTCTTCTCTCTCTGCACTTGGCAAGCGCTACTGCAGGTACACACTTGAAATCGGGCAAGCATCGCACCGGTAACTATCGTTTATCATTGGATTACCAGTTTAAACATTCAAGCAATGTTAAACCATCCCCAGCTCGCGCACTCTCAGAGATGTCTTTCACTGCGCGCACATATAAAGCCTAAATCCGCCTCACAAACAGCTCGCCAGAAACAAAAGTGTTATCCCTGGATTATATCGCTTTAACAGTTAAAAGCAAAATTATGTCAAAACTGTCTTGGTGAGTAACCTCGTAAAGACAGTCGGTTATGTCTTAAATTAGCATTAAACGCGTGTGACAAAGTTATAATGAAACACAGTAATGGATTCGCGAACTAGTTCTTAAAGTGAACGCAGCCATAAGTGTCTGCCATTAATTCTGTTGTCATAACAACATAATATAGCATTAATTGTAAGCAATCAGAATGAATAGCCTATGTATTTAATTCAGTCTGGACTAA